GAATAACATACATTAAGAATAACATACATTAAGAATAACATACATTAAGAATAACATACATTAAGAATAACATACGTTAAGAATGACATACATTAAGAATAACATACATTAAGAATAACATACATTAAGAATAACATGCATTAAGAATAACATACATTAAGAATAACATACATTAAGAATAACATGCATTAAGAATAACATATATTAAGAATAACATACATTAAGAATAACATACATTAAGAATAACATACATTAAGAATAACATACATTAAGAATGACATACATTAAGAATAACATATATTAAGAATAACATGCATTAACAATAACATACATTAAGAATAACATACATTAAGAATAACATACATTAAGAATAACATGCATCAGAAACATTGACACCACGTCAGAATAAGGCACGCTTTTGCACGAGAACGAATCTATGAAAATGTTTTTAGCATACCTTCGATTTCCGGCAAGTTAATGCTTTGTCCGAAACTCTTTTTGAAACCTGAAACATCTAAAACTGAACAATTAACTCAGGCAAAAAAAAAAAAAATATAAAAAGAAAAGAAAAAGAAATATCTTTTGCGCGATTGCAGCCGTCAGTGACGGGATCCCTGTGTTCTCTGACTGTGAAGGAGGCTGAACTTGGACCAACCTTTTGGCGTAGCAGGGTGTGATTTGAGGTCATCTGGGCGAATTCCAACCAAGGCAGATCTTGGGACATTCTTACTGTGTTTCCTATATGTTTTCTTTGCCTTGTCTTTGTGCTTATGTAGAACACGACCTATGAAAGAGACGACACCGAATAACAAATGAACAGTAAATAYCATGGTGGCATCGATACTGTTACGAGTCACCACAACTAAGAGAAGTAGGCCCGGGAGATGGGGATGGCGGGGGTACCGGGGTAAAAGTACCGGGGATGCTGGTCGGATCTCTTAGGGGTAAACATTCGTGATTTGTAATCTTTTAGGGTGCCAATTTGGAGTTGGAAATTTGAATTTTCTGCAATCTCTCAGGGAAAGATCAGGTGTCCGTTTAATAGAGGTTGACCGTTTAATAGAGATCATGTTTACAGTAAATACATATGATCATCGACTTTTTGGGAATTCATCAGTAACCACTTAATGGAGGTTGACCGCTAAATAGAGGGTCGTTTAATAGAGGTTCGACTGTATTTTCGTAGTTAAGTTCTTGATTGTATTTACCTTGTGTGAGTGAGAGAATCAAAGAGCAGTAGATTACAATCAGACTTATGTCTTTCGTTATCATAGTTACCAAGGAGGGTCTTCATCGAGTATAGATTATGGTGAACATATGTCTGTAATTTGAGATTCATATAGTTTAGGAATGAATAACGATAAAACTGTAAGAGTGGTCGCACTCAAAATCTAAGTAGTACTAGTTTGTACTAAAAGTGGGTCTGAAGCAAGACGGTATTGAATGTTTCATTTGTAGAGTGATCGCACTTAAAGCGTGCAACTGTACAAAATCTAAGTAGTACTAGTTTGTACTAAAAGTGGGTCTGAAGCAAGACGGTATTGAATGCTTCATTTGTATCAATTCAATATAATTTGCGTACCACGTGCACGACTACTAATACAATTAAATAGCACTATTCATTTCAAGTTTAGAATTTAAATTCTTCCTGGGAACTCTAAAAAATGAGTTCGTTGTTGTCTTTATTTTTTTACAAGTGAACAACGTTAAATGGGAATGACTGAATAACTATACTGCCAAGGTAACAGCCACCTAAAAACTCAACACTAAAACAGAAAATGTATAGATCACTGTCGTAAAATACAAGTACAAATTACTAGAAAGTTGAAAGCACTGTTATCATACAAAACACTAAGTTGGCTGGTATTTCGGTTGTCAAGTACTTTTTCACCACATTAACGCAAAAAGGTACCTCCTTTCTCTTAACATTAACGCTAAATACCTTAGCTACAAATTATTATTTGATTATAGCAAAACAATAAAGCGATCAACATCAGCCATCATCAGTCAAAACAGTAAGAGATTGGTTAAAAAAAATAAAAAATACTCCCGTTTCTCTGTGGTCAATTGTCGACGTATTTAAGACGTTCTCAATCAAGTACACTCACCTTTAGAATTACTTAACAGGTCAATTATAATGTTGTACATCCAAGGTAGACCAATAGGGTAGTTATCGACTCTTCATTGTATCAAAAGACTCCATATTTCAGGAGTTAATTTGAGTTTTATTAATTTCGTTGTTTTTGACTGATAAATGATTTATGATGTTCCATATGTGCGACAGTGACCTCATCGATGGGGATACGGTTCGTGTGTTTTGTGTGTTCCTTCGAGTGGCCATTCACGCCCCGGTGAACTTGTTGCTGGATTCCATCGATTCCATAAGCTTCAGTCGTGTATACGCTAAACCGTTGCGTTTTTAGACATGCTAAGTGAACGTATTAGAGCAAGWGATGCCTCGAACAAACTTATGCATTGTTTTATCGATAATCCCTATAAAAAGGCTGAACAGTACAGATACGCTACACAAAACGCATCAGCGCAAACGGTGCCCCGTTAAAACTAATGCGCGTTTTTTGTACTGTTATCAACCGACAATCCCAGAAAAACGCCAAAGATACGCTACGTTAACGCATTAGCGCGAAAGGTTCCCGGTCCAACATAATGCGTTTTTTGTTTTGCACTGTTTTCAAGTATCCTAGAGGAGTAAATACTATGGACTGTGCAAATTTCTCAGCAGCTTGTCTCTTGATGGAACATTGTGAGCGAGGATTTAATGGTATCAAGTGTAACAAGGTACGGTAATACGAGCAACAAAAACGTCCAACTTGTCTCGCAACATTGATGCAAAACAAGTTTAAAAGCGATGCTGCGCGTTTTACTACCAGCGAACCAACTTGTCTCGCAGCAAAACAATTTGTTGCAAGTTGAATTAGTTTAGATTTCTTATTGGCTAAAAACATCACCTGATGTTGGCTTGCGCGCGCTAAACGTCATTTTGCTGCGAGACAAGTTAATGTAGTAATACGAGCAACATCTACAAGTTTTGTTGCAAAAAGTAGAACCATCTTCTACTTTCTGCAACAAACTTTTTCAACTTGCAACAAGCCATTTTGACGCGAGACAAGTTGGTRCGCGCGTAGAAAAAVGAGCAACATCGCTTTCCAACTCGTTTTGCATCAATGTTGCGAGACAAGTTGGACRTTTTTGTTGCTCGTATTACCGTACCTTAACCGTTTTCGTTGCATTGTCGTGTCATTCCCAATTTCCTGACTAGTTGTCATCGCGTTATCTATGACCCATATCATGTTCTATTTGAATTAAACAAGTGATGGTTGGATTCCAGTTATTAGCACTGCACAGCTTAGTAGAGTTTCACGATGTCTATACTCCAATAACTGACAAACACATCAACCAATGAAAACTAATAAACAACTAACCAAACAATAAACAATTATTAATAGACCAATCAAAATAAAGTACAAAATCTAAATAAAAAAAGGACAACAAAAACACACATAACAGATCTAAAGACTAAACCTTTGAGAATTTTGTCAGCCGATATCATAATAGCCTCCATGATAGTCAGTAGCAGACATTTTTAGCGGTTAGGTGGGGAAGAACCGGACCACTTTTAAAATGGTGGTTAAAGGCCCAGTTTGCACCATTATGCTTTGCACGCCTCTGTTATTGTTATGATTTACACCAAAATACTTCAATAAATARTAGTATCCAAAATACTAGTATCCAAATATCACCATAAAACGAATGTCAGATGGTTGAAAACTCTAATATTAGCGTTTAAAGTACTTAGAGAGATGGTCAAAGATTCGAAATGCACAGTACAATTTATGGACTTTCATTAAACTGAAAATGACTGCCTTCAGGCCCCAAAGCATAATGGTGCACACTGGGCCTTTAATATCATCAAGGATTTAATATCAATGAAACGGAAACAAAACAAATTTAAAGAAGACAAGAACAAAACATAATACATCAATAACAACAATAATAACAACAACAACAAAATGCCAACTAAACAAGTAACAAACCCACTAACATATACACCAAACACGTCATCACMCAATCAAATAACTATAGCCAATCAAGAAGAATCGTCGCAAATTAGCAAATCACCATATCAGCAAATCAATGAACGAATCAACAACCCATAACCAATTCAAACAACAACAACATCAACATCAATAACAATAACAACAACAACAGCGATACCACCAAATTAACATCAAAACGAAGGATGAAAACTTTGAAATTTGTATCTTTTATTGCACAGTAAATAATAACATCAAAATCGTTTCGGAAAACTCAACTATGTACACAAACATGCACGTCAAACTAAAACAGTTTAACAGCTTGAATGACGATGTTCAAGATCAAAGGAGATTCAAAATAAATTCATACTAACAGCTACAAAGAAATTCTACGYTGCTAATCAATATTCTATTTGCACTATACATCTGGTTGAATACTAAAGAGAAAAATACGAAAAAAATACTATTTACTCTAAGTTGGAATTTAGTAGAAAATAAAGCGATACTTAATAAGACGCAAGATTTTCTTATAACTGTGCCAACCATAAATGTTCATTTAAACAAAGCAGCATATGTAAAGCTTTTTTTAATCATGGTTGCCTAACACATAAGACGTTTGCGGATAAGTTCAAAGTATCGCAATATTAGCAGTATTTTTCGTTTATAATGTAATATCTATTACTATTAACTGTTATTAATGTATTAACAAACCATTGGATATGTCAACTGTCTAACTAAAAAAATAACATAAAGTTCATCGATCGGTGGTTCCTTTAAAAATGGTGATATTCGAAACCAAACACGTCTTTAACAAAGCTAATGAGATTGATTGAGGTTGTGTGGACCTAAGTGAATAACCTTAATCAATGCTCAAAGTTGAAATCTTCAAACACTACGTTACAACCAGTAAAACACATAAAAAGGTATCGAATTGGTCTTGGAAAAAAAGTATCATCATGCTTTTCTTGATCTTAACTGTAGTACTTTTTAATCGTTACATATAAAAAGCTATGCTACATCCATGTAAGCTGCTCGTTTTTTTCAGAATGTTTTCTTAAGGAGTTTAAAGAGCACTTTTTATGACTTCTTAAACTCCATCACTATTCAAGAACTACACACGAGCCCCCACAATAGGGAAGAAAAAAACAGCCCGAGCCACCCCTCCCTGGATAGGAGAATTGTTTCAAAGGTCAACTTTATCATGCATATTATCCCTTAATCTGTTGCCTCTTGAAGATCGACGCATAAACATCCTCAGTCACTCCTCCCTTGTTAACAACATTGCTCCTAAGACCACGCTCTTCGTTCCCTTTGGGATCGTAAAGAGCAACTACATACAGATCGTTAGTCTGTAAGTCTCTGGCGCATCCCATGCCAAGCTTTTGACTACTTCTCCATACCACCTGGGTGAACGAGTCGGTTTCAGGCGATATTCTTGGATCTGAGAAGCTATAATTCGAGATTTCAGCATACCACAAGTTTGTGGCTTCTTCGCCTGCCCGATCAAAGCTTGTCCCGGAAATTTTCGCAACATTTTCGCCGTAGTTTAAAGTTGTTGCGAGAGCTGACTTTTCGATGTTTCCTTTCATGGCCATTTCGTAGGCTAGCTTCTCTGCTTGGGTTGCTAGCTCGTCAGACCATTTGAGGTCGGGAGAATGGTGGATCGCGCGGAATTTATTGTGTGTGTTGAGACCTTTCTCTGCAAAAGCCTCCAGATCTGTAAATACAGATTTTTAGAAATGATTAGAATGAGTAGACGGGTGGTAGGCTAGAGGGAAGTAATTCTTCTGAAAAATCAGGTCAAAAAATGAGAGGTTTTTCGGACATGGAGAAAAAAAAGGGGACGAAGGAAAGTAAGGGCAGGGAGACCGATGAAAAAAGACAATGAAAAAGAAGTAAATGAAAACAAGGAAGGAAGGAATAGAAGAAACGGATCATGGAAATGGAGAATATACCCAAAATATAAAGAAATCGAAAAAAATAATAATAATAATAAAGAAATAAAAATAAAGAAAGTTTTCTCTTCCAATCATTGATGATTGGAAGAGAATGATTGGAAGAGAAAAAAAGGAGGAAGAGGAATAAAGATAAAAAAGGAGAATGGAATGGAGGATAAACAGAATATACAGAATATCAAAGTCAGTTACCTTCTTTYAATTTCATAGCTTCAATTGCGTTCGCATTGTCTCTTTGAGTAGCCACCTGATCAGACTCAAACAATACATTATCGCTTGGGTTTTGACCATGGGATACTCTAGAGTGACTCGTCACAGTTATAGGTTCATCATACATCGGTTTCGGCAGTAAAGGATCTGTAGAAGCTCTGGCGTTACTCACATACCTCCGTGCTGCATCTGATTGGCTGTCGACGTCAGGTACACTTATSGTGGATTCTTCAGTCCCAGTATGGTCAGTTGGTATTCCAGGCATTCCATGGTGTTTTTTAGTGGTGGCACCTAATAGCTTATTCACTGCCGCTAACAAATCAGGAATCTTAGCCACCTCGCCTGATTCTGACGTACTTGCTGGCGCGCTTCGTGACGTAAACGACACAGGTGACGTATCAGTGGATATCATTGGGGTCCATTTTCTATGAATAGTGGGTGATTCTTCATCATCTTCTCTSCGTTGGCTTTTCAGTTCTTTAATACTCTCTTGTATRCCCTTGAGGATTTTTCCGAGGGTACTTTCTAAGCCCAGTGAGTTAGTAGAGGAGTCAGAAGAAGAGAGTTTAGTTAGCCCATTTTTGCTTTTAATCCCGTTAAGGTTGTAAGTTATTTGTGGGACAACTTTTGAGTCGGTGTCAGAGCCAATTTCTTTGATTTTCTTTGGAGGGTCAGGGACGTCATCATCGTCGTGCTTAGGTCTTGACACTTGTATGTCTGCTACCTTGTTATTATGCTTGCCAACTGTTGATATTAGCTTGACAGCTTCTTTGGTCGGGTCCTCGTTGTCTTCATACTTTTGGACTTCCTTAACCTCTTCATTCTCTCCAGTTTTTGGCATCTTTAGAAGCACCCATGATTTCCTCGCACCCTTTTCGTCCTTATTGGGATTTAGTTGCACACTGGTTTTGTTATGTGCAGAACCTTGCTTTGGTGCATTGTTCTGCACAGGACCTTGTTTTGGTGCATTGTTCTGCACAGGACCTTGTTTTGTCCGAGCTTCTGCGGCTGCCATATCGTTTTTATTCATCGCGGTGATCAAGTTACTAATAGACTTAGCTAGCGTTGCCTCAAACTTCTCCTTACGAGTTCCTTTCAATAAAATCAACTTATTTTCATCTTCTATCTCTTTTTGAAGTTCTGCTCTCTGTTTCTGAGTCCCATACCCTTGCAAGAACTTCGCTCCAGGACGATCATTGACAAGCATCTTGTATTTGGGCTTGACGATAAGCTTTGCTCTTTTTCCAAATAGCAATTTTAGTATTGAAATCCCAAGGGATGTGGGGTTGACCAGAGCTGAATGGGACCGATCGTCCGAGATGCTGCTACGATAAGCTGCTACGCCAAGCTCTTCTGGTTGCTGTTTDAGTGGAACGATACCAGCAATGTTGCTCTGTGGAGCTTTCCCCTTATTACCCTCTTGAAAGTTCTTAATTTGTTCAAGTATCGAWTTAATAAAAGGCTCATTCTCGCGTGACGGATGGCCCTTCTCCAGGTGACCRACTGTTTTTTTATCGGCATGATCTTTTTGTGKCAACACTTTTGAGTGCATCTTAGCTTTCATTTTCCCATGTTTGTGCATCTTTGCAYTAATGTARCCAAGGTCTTTGACAGTAACWAGGCGAGCTCTTTGCCCATTTCGCGTYAATCCCGACGATACTGCAGTTGTTATACTGTTGTTCTTTACAATGTCATTGTTTGTATCTTTAGTCTGAAGCGCTTGTGCTAAGTTCAAGATATCTGCATCCTTCTTGAATGAGTTTTTCTTGTTTAGTACCAGCTTCAGCGCGCTTACCAACGCCGGCGAGAAATGGAACCGCTTCAGACTGTGAGCCCCACGTGGTCCACCTATAATCACAAACCGTTTTTGMGACGTCGTATGGTTGTAATCTTCTTTAAATGCGATCTTTTTTGGAGCTTTGAAGATTTCTGTTGGTGGTTTTTTTGGAGGTTTAGGTTTTTCTCTTATCATTGTTGGTGGAGAAACYTTGTACTGATCGCCTCCTTGCGAGCTTTGGTCTTCTTTGAGATGATCGTCCAAATTTATAACATTTTGGAGACGAGGATGATGGTGATGATGATGGYGTCGATGACGATGATGGTGTTGATGGTGRTGATGACTATGATGATGATGATGATGACCGTGTCTGACAGAGTTGTGGCTGCCTAACGTTTTCGCCGAAACAACCGCTTCTTTCTGCTTCAAATGATGATATTTTGAGCCTGCGTAATTTTGAGAATTCTTGTTTTTTCCGTGTGAATTTTTGTTGCTGGATTTGMCAAATCSAGATTCCGTCTTACTTATAGAAATCTGGGTTTCAGCACTTTTAATATTCTCGKTCTTACCCTTGCCAWATTTCCTAAGTGACYCCGCATTGCCTTGATGTCCGAGATGTCCAGTCGAATTAATGGAGTGACTTTTTAAAAACTCCTTCTGTTGCGGCATCGAGTTGTTTTCAACGTTTTTAATATCATTCGTATTCTTTGGAAATTTTTCGTGTCGAAAATTTACTTTGATGCTTGTTTTATTGYTTGCAACTGTGTTCGTATTWTCATGTSCATATTTGGCAACAATTTTTCTGTCATTGCCGRAATGCAATTGTTCATTACCTTTATAAATTCCTCTTATAGCTTCATGGTTGTTTTTAGCATCAATACTGCTTCTTGAAACAAATTGCTCCTTGCTTCCCACATTACGAGCAAATCCATTGGATTTGTTCTCAGCAGTTGACAACCTCTTTGTTAGTGGCAAACTACCTTTAGATGCAAGAGTTTCAGGGAAGTTCCCATGCAAATTGCCAACCGCGTTCTTACGTTGCGATTGCAATTTCYTTGCGTATAAAGGCGTACCAGTTTGTTTTCCATGCTGCGACGCGTAGGAGCCACKTTTTACCGAAAGCTTGCTATTCTTTGCCGTGAACGTCTCACCCACGTCTGGGKTCTTGCGCAGTKCTTGCGGTGCGTTTGCGCTAAAGTGTGTGWMTTCAGGTTTCCTATAGTACCAAGAGTAACTACCGCCATTTAGGGATTGCTTATTACTATTTGTTGAAAACGTTTTACGTAAACGTCCAAACGAAMCTCCACGTAGGTTCCTGCGTTGYGCTTGCGTTTCTGCCACATCTAAGGACTGTTTTCCATGGTTCGGTGTGAGAGTACCACTGCTTACGCGCAAGCTAACAATTACAGCAACAACTAGTAGCGTACTAGAAGCGTACATTTGGTCTTGGAGTCTGTAAAAATATCAAAAAATCTACCATAATTATAAAATGAAGACTGCATTTTCTCCGCTTTGAGGCTAAGCCTGTATTTTCTAAATATTCGAATATGCACCGTCTGGAAAAGCATTCAGTCCTTTGCATCAATGCGAGATAACGGTTTAACTTGAAGAAATATATCCCTTCAAAACYATGGAGCAATTATTCACAGTTGCCTGTCTCACCACTGTTTCGCTTTGAAGCAAAGGATCGTTAAGTCTCTCAATAGTTGACGCTTGAAACTGTAAATGCTTTGAAATACTTTAAAAAATCACCAGTTAAAATGTCTGGTCAGATCGTACGAGTCTACCTTACATGGTCTGGTACCTCTTTTAATTTTTCAGATTAAAAYCATTTTATTGTGCACTGGAAAGTTAGTTTCCTGGCCATTCAAAGTAGAAAAGGTTTGTACTTACTTCCATACAACTAAACGTAGTCCGCCATTTTGTTCACTGAAGTTTTTGATTCAAATCCATAAAATGCATCCATTTTAACCTTAAAAATATAAAAATGTTTCTAAAACTCAAGAGGTTAACTCTAAAAACATAACTTCTACTACCATAGATTCTATAAAATCGTGTGACTAAAGTTCAAGAGTTCAAGTTTATGTTCACGGAATTATCTGGAGAATGTTCAAAATATCTAAGTTTCTGGAATATTGCAAAGTATATACTAGAAGTGTGATTAAATGTTTTGTTCAATGTTTAGTTAGGGTATTGTTTTATTATCGAGTTTTAAACTATATATTGATATGAAAGTACAACTTTATGGCTAATTATAAAAACAAAAACAAACTTATAAACGCTGATAAATATGAACATTTTACGCTAATAAATAAGCTTTAGACTCACCCGTGTTTAATTCCAACATCTGTCAAAGATATTTTCAAATTTCTGAAGAAATCGTGGCCATAATAGAGGGTTTTTATTAACCGCTTATCGCGAATAACCACAGTAAAGCAATCATGAATAATACACCGATCATATGGATCGATGAATCTTGGTAAACATACCGACTGGTGGTATGAAATGTGTCAATGAACTCAGCCAGTCAACTTTAACCTGGTTGGTAAATTGGGAAAAATCAAAAATGGTACCCGATGGCGTGCATTTTCGACGAGTTTTACGCCTTTTGATTTCCTTTTTTTGTCCGTATTCTCGTGTTTAATGATTATTTGTTACAAACGCAGTCAGTTTTATTTTTAGTTTACCCTTTCCTTATTTCCATTTCCCATATTTTTTTCATCTCTCTTTCTTCTACTTCAGCCATCGCGAGTAGCTACATAGCATGTCAAAATTCTTATTCATATCGTTAGTCTCACACAGCTAAGATTTTAGAATTTTAAAAGTATATTTCAATATCTTTTAGATAATAGATATTACACATTGTTATATTTTCATACATGATACTTCAATATACCTTTTGCAGCAATTAAAAACCATTTAACCRTTACAGGTGTTGAAACATTGGATGCAAAATCCTTGAACTAGTAGCACAATGTACCATCGCTTCTGTTCAGGTTTGGAAACGACATTTCTCTTGTAGAAAGCTATTTTCTCAGTTTAGGTCTTGAAACGCGACAAAACCAGTTCTTGAAAGTTATGCAAGATAGTTATTGCGTTGTAGATAGTTCCAAAACTTTCTTATTCGCTATTGGTTTTTGCTTTGTAAGTTGTCAATGAATGTTGTCACCTCAAGTTGCGTCGTACAGCCGCCATATTGACGACAATTTTTCGAGGCAGTCAGCAAACGAACATGATGAAGTAGATATACTCTTGCGTGGATTTTTCTGGATATATTTTGGGTTAAAAAAACAAACACTGTTTTCAAACTTGAACAACAACAGCGTTGCGATGTTGCGTCGAACGTTTTCTTTATAGGGCGTTGAATAGTTTATGGATCGTGTTTATTGAAACTAGCCCCAACCTTTTTTACTTCCAATATATAGAGAAACCTCGGATGCCATTTTGGTATTTCATAGATACTTTTATTACATATTTGTGTATTACTAAAACCTTTTTGCAAAAGACTGTATAAATACATCAATATATTGGATAGCCGATATTTCAAAATTAATTTTTAAATTTTTCGATAACCCTAAACAAGCATAATTTTCTATCAAAATAATTTCCTACTAAAAATATATCCTACAACAAATTAAACTTAGACAAACTATTCCAAAGATGACCATTTCCTTAAAATTCAAAAAGAACTTATCGCYAGCCATCTTGAATTTCACTGC